TCTATTAATGAGAAGATATATACTACTTTTGCTTTACAAAGGGTCCTCTTATACAGCAGTAAACCATTTTTCCAGACTAGGAAGGAATCTCGCAGGCCTGTGGAGCGATATTTTCTCTCCAGTTTCCTAGCATTTTGCTTCAAAGTACGCAGCTCTGCATTAAACATTGTTAATATTTCTATTTTTTTCATTGCTGTAATAATATTTAATTTCTCTGTGCTATAAGGTCAATGTACCGATTTATTGATTTAATTTGTTAAATTAAACAGACTTTTTTGTTCTAAATGTTTCTGTTCTAACCAGATATTTCTTTATGTGAGCAGTTTCCATTAAACCTACTGTGACTCTGCAACACAACTGGTCTCCAATATTCAGAGGAGAGACAGTCACTCTGAGATGTGAGATCCATGGAGGTGGAGGAACTGAGTGGACGTATGAATGGAGACCAACAAGCAGAAACTCTGAAACATTCAATGAATCCAGGACCATAAGAGCAGACAGTGACTCCTACAGCTGCAGAGGAAGAAGAAACTATGAGTTAACTCAATGGAGTGATTCTTTTTCATTAACTGTTGGTGAGTTATCCCTCTATTTTAGAAAATAGGTGATTATTTGAAATGTTTTAATTAGTTTTATCTAACCATCTTTTTCTATTAAAACATTCAACTTTGAGCTGTTGCTTTTCGAAATATTTTATTTTATTTGTTTTCAAGTTTATGCTTAAAGTTTAAAGTAAATATTTCATAACATTAAGGATCTTATCAGCTTTGTTAGTGTCTAATATGATCACAACATTGCTACAGGTGAGCCAGATTATGTTGACCACTAGAGAACAGTTTAGGAAATGTTCTAACTTTACTCTTTGGTTTTAGATCACCATAGATTAAAACATATTTTTTCTTCATTGAACAATACTTTTCAGTGAATACTTTCAAGAACACCACGAAGACTTAAACATTGTAAAGTTAATATTGGCTATACCTGGAAAATGAAAAATAAAAAAATGTATAGTTGCCTACATAAATATGGTCAGTAAAAAGTTGATGAATTTTTTATGTCAAATGTGGTTTTAAATTCTCAGAGGATCAAACGTCTGATTTATTCTACTAGCTGAATGCGAGATTTATGGAGTTAAAACTGTTCATTAAACAATATTCTGGAGATTTACTTGTTTTTGTTTTTCCCTCAATAGCAGAAAAACCAAGAGCCAAACTGACAGCAGAGGAAACCATCATACCAGCATGGGGCAGTATAACACTGACCTGCTCTGTGCCCAGCTCTGCTGGATGGAAGTTTTACTGGTTCAGACAGGAGTCATTGTATCATGCAGCTCAGTCCATCAGAATCAATGAACCTGATAGATTCATCAGAGTCTCAGAGGGAGGAATATACAGCTGCATAGGAGGAAGAGGAGATCCAGTTTTCTACACTGAAAGCAGCAATAAAGTCTCTGTAAGGAAAACTGGTGAGTTTAGTTTCTGTTCACCATTGAAACAAAAAGTGATTTCAGATTAGGTAAATGGTGGGGTATCTTTTTTGAAACCTAATAATGGTGTTGAAAAAAAAAACAAAGCATACATTACTTACTGTTTAAGTATCTTTATGATTC